CAGCTTCTGGAATAATTAACACTTACCTGAGGAAATTAACAGGCAACTTTTATGAGATTAAACAGTCCCTATCCTTTCTGAACTCATTTCCTATGTCCATTTTCCTAATCTGACTCAGCAGCAGCTGACCGAATATTCACTAAATGGAAGAACTCCGTACATATAGTTAATCAAATTGCAGTTTTATATTTGATGGGCTAAGACAGGTATTGACAAACCATGGCCTGTGGGCCAAATACAGTCCACTGCCTGGTTTTGTAAATAAAATTTTATTGAAACCACCATGGTCATTCATTTATGTATTATTGTTTGTGGATACTTTCACATTACAACAGAAGAGTTGAGTAGTTGCGACAAAGACCGTATCAAACACAAAGCCAAAAATATTTACTATCTGGCCCCTTACAGAAAAAGTTTGCCAACCTTGGTCTAGGATGTCACAGTCCACATTTTACAGAACAGAGTTATTGATCCTATGGGGTTTATAAACTGCAATCGCCTCCTCCCAACAAAAAAATATTTGCAAAAGTATGTGTTTCATGTACTATGTACATTTTCCTAGGGAAAAGGTCTCAGCTTTCAACAGATTCCCAAAAGAAGCCAGAGTACCCCAATTAAAGCCAGAGAAAACCAAAGAGTATCTTTAGCTGTTAGCACATTTAACAGTGCTAAAACACACACACACTCCTAGACAAGAGAAACGCGGAGCTTCAACAATTAAATACCTTTTTTCTGTTCTATCAGGTTTGGTAGCTTCCTCTTCCTGGATTTTACTCAGGCATTTTTCCATCTGATTATGTAAATTTTCAGGGGCCTAACTGAAAACTGCACCTTCCACTTGAAAAGTAAAAAAAAAAAAAAGTCCTGTGAAGGTGACATTTATTTGAATATCTTTTCATTTGCTAATCCAATGAAAGTGGAAGATCCCTTTGAACCAGCAAATCCCTCTTCAAGCCATAGGTAGATGTTAAGGAGGCAAAATCCCAGCACAATAGACATTTAATTCATTTTACTAGATCTGACTGCAGCTCTAAGGAATTTTATGAATATACAAATCTTACCTTCAAGGTCGGAGGGAGTTACATAGCCAAAACAGCATTTGGGTGAGATATTAAGAACTAGGTATCTGTTGTACTTTCAGGCCAAAGATAAAGTGCCTTGTCAAACACTCTTGGAAGAAACAGAGTGGTTTCTCTGAGCATAGCTAATGAAGCCTGTTGGTCAACAAAGACATTTTAGTTTTAAACTATGAAACATTAGCCTCCTCCGCCTCCTTTGAGATTATAATTCCAAAGACACTAAATCAAGTTCATGTGGAGAAATCGGGAACCCTGTTAGTCTTAGTACCAGCCTCTTCTAACACTGGGGCTTAGGAGTGAATATTGCATTTTCTAGACTAGGGCATTATTGGCATTGCAGGATTGATGAACAGCAAAGAGGGGTAGGATTGCAATTAAAAAGTGAAGTAGCCATGGGCAAGCAAAAACAATAATAATAATAACAAAACAAAGAATGAAATGATATGGAGGGTGGAGTGACCAAGAATTGCATTTTGAGGGTCACCAACTGTAGACAGTGCAAACATCAGCATAACATATGTCTATGATTCCCAAACTGTGTACTGAGATACCCTGAGGCCCTGTAAACTCACAGGCATGGCAAGATGTTGTAAATTTTTAAAGGAAACACAGCAACATCTATAGGACATCATGCAAACTGCTACTATTAAGCTGTTTAGACCTAATTACTTAATAGATTGAACTATTAAGTATTTATTTTGGCCTAGGGCCCCATAAAAAAATTACTAAGACAAACACAAAAAGTTTTGGAATTGCTGGCATATACAATTTTTTGTTAGGCTTGAGGGCTATACAAGAACCATAAAATACAAACAGTTTTGAGTTCTACCCACACATACTCATTTCCATTTCAGATGGCTTAACTAAGACAGAAGTAGGAGCTGCTTAATTAACCAATTTGTTCTGACTATATCAGTGTGACCAAA